AATGCACGTACAAATAAAAATAAACCAAAAAAGAAGGTAATATGAGGCTGGCCATGGTCGCGCATGCTTTTCATCCCAGCATTTTGCAGGCAGGGGTAGATGGATCTCTGTGTTCAAAGACAGCTTGATTTATATAGTAAGTTCCAAGTCAGCCAGGATTATACAGCGAGACCCTGTCTAAAAAGAAAAATAAAACTAAAGAAAGAAAAGAAAAGAAAAGGTAATTTAGTGTCAATGTACAGGTAAAAAGAAGTTGGGGAGGTTGGGTAAGGGAAGTTAGGAGTTTATAAAAAAAGTTTGTGAGAAAAGCATTGGGAACAGGAAACAAGGACATCTCCAGTTTAGGAGTGGAAAACTGACGTGGCCTGGGTGACTCGAGTGTAAAGGACACTGTAGCTGAAAGTGGCTGAGGTTTCAAGCCTGGGTGACCTAGGCAGTGGTGGGGCTGCTCGTAGCAGAACGACAGATGTCAGAAGCAGAAGCTGGCTGCAGGGGAGGAAACAGGAGTATGAGGAGGAGAGAGCACAGAGTTGCCCTGGGAACTGAGGGGTCACCAGATCCGAGGAGAACAAAGTGTAAAAGAAGAAAAGAAAAGAAAGTCCAAGCGCAAAACCAAAGCTGGAGGTAAAGTTTTGCAAACCCGGGGCTGGGGAGCTAGGTCAGCAGTTAAGGGCCCTTGGTGCTCTTCCAGAGGACCCGAGTTCGGTTCCAGCACCCATGTCAGACAGGTCACAACGCCTGCAACTCTAGCTCTGGCCTCTGTGGGCACCCATACACAAGTGGCACGTATTCGCATGGATATACACATATACATGTTAATAAAAATAAAAATCTAAAACACAAAAGTTTGGGCAACGTGTGAAAAGGTTAGGGAGGTTCAGCCTAGGTAATACGTCTTGTCACATAGTTAAGTATAAAACCACTTCTTGTTGAATGAATGACTTGAAACGTGTGAAAAACCCTTCCCTCTATCACACTGCCATTGAGGATTTATGTCACTCAGAGAAGGTGTCATTCAAAAAGCATGGATGAAGAGCCTTTCGAAAACTAATTCACCCCCTCCACCCACAAGGAGACTAGTATCTAATGCTAACACAATTAGGAACAAACAGGGCCGAGAAAACTGCAGCACAAGATCCCTGTGACCCACATGGGGAAGGGAGAGAACCGACCCCTGCAAGCTGTCCTCTGTCTCCCATGGGTGTTACAGCATGTAAACCTCCTGCTTCCTAAATATGTGAATAAATGCAAAAGATGAACAAGAAGCAATTATGAATGCCCGGATACTAAGTGGATTCTAGCCCAGAGAAATGCAGGAGTGCAGGTGACTTAGAGAGGAAGAGGCTCACCTTACAGCTGACAGTCTAGCATCAGAGGAAGCCAGGTCAGGAACGTAAGGCAGGAGCTCTGAGGCAGAAACTGAAGCAGAGAGCATGGAGGATGCTCTCTACAGCTTGCTCAGCCTACATTTTTATTGCATTTTATCCAGGACCACCTGCCCAGGGGAAGCACTACCTATAATAGACTGGGCCCTCCCACATTAACCATCAATCAAGAAAATGCCCTACAGACTTGCCGACCAACCAATGTCATGGAAGCATCTCAGTTGAGGTTCCCTCTTCCCAGATAACTTTAGCTTGTATCAAGTTGACAAGAAGCCAGCAAGGGCACCCATTCATCTATTTAGGACACTAAACTGTTTCTAATTTTCTTCCTCTGGGAATAACACTGAGGTGAACATCTTGTATGTGTATATCTTTGCTTCTTTGTCTTGGGCTATAATCCTGGCTAAAGTGTTGATGGAAATTTTCAGGAAAATGTGTTAAAATGCCAATGTGTAAAATATGTACTATAGTGTTGCATACCTTCAATCCCAGTTTTCAGCAGGCAGAGGCATCTCAGTGAGTTCGAGACCAGCCTGGTCTACATAGTGAGTTCCAGAATAGCCAGGGTTACATAATAGAGAGAACTTGTCTCAAAATACAAAAACAAAGCAAACAACAAAAATCCTGTGCTATAAACACTGAACAAGGTCTGGTGGTACCTGTGTATAACACTAATACTCGGAAGGCATAAAGGTCATCCTCAGCTACACAACAACTTTAAGGCCAACCTGGGCTATATGAGACCTTGTCTTTAACAGGCCTGACTCAGGCCTGTAATTCTAGCTATTTCAGGGAGGCTGGGACAGGAAGGTCTTGAACTCAAGGCTTGCTTGGGCTGTAGATTAAGTTAAATTCCCTGGGTAACTTAAATGAGATTTGTCTCAGAACAAAAAAATAAAGGAAGTCCGGGGACACAGAGCAGAAGTTGTTTGCCTAGCCTGTGTGAGATCCTGGGTTCAATCTCCAATATGTCACAAAGAAAAGAAGAAGATTGAAGGCACGTGGGGGAAGTGCCTGCTGATTGATGGGTCATCTCAGAGATTTGGAGGAAGTGGGTGGAGTACACAGTAAACCGAGCTGCTGGGCACTCAGAACTGATTGATCTGTTGTCTGTGCTCTGCAAAGACAGGAGGTGGACGTCCTTCAGACCAGAAACAGGAACTCAGTGGGTGGGCCCCCCAAGGGGAGTGTGAACTTTGAAACAGAAAAAGAAGTCTGCCTCTGAGAGTGGAGGACACAGTGCTGTGCTGCCCTTCAGTCCGAGGCCAGCATGGGGACCTGCCACTCATGCCCACCTAGGCCAAGCCTTTGCTTTTGAAAAGATGGATTTCATTTTTCATTATATGTGTGTGGGTATGTGCATGTGACTGCAGCGACCTGTGCAGAACAGAGGTGTTGGATCTCCCTAGAGCTTGAGTTACAGGTGGTTGTGAGCAGCCCAAGGTGGGTGCTGGGAACTGAACTCGGGTCCCGTGGAAGAACAGTATGTACTCTTAAACTCTTTGCCATCTCTCCAGCTCCAGGTCAAGTATTTATTCAGTATCTTGTCTTAGATTCTCTTTTTACTTATTTTATTTTGATTTAAGTGTTGCATTAATTTTCTTTTTTCTTTTTTTTTTAGGTTTTTGAGATAGGGTCTCACTTTGTAGTTCTGGCTGGCCTAGAACTTGCAATGTAGACCAGGCTAGTCTTGAACTCATAGACAGTCACCTGCCTCTGTTTCCCAAGTGCTGGAATTAAAGGTGAGCACTACCACATCTGGTTTCTTTTTTCTTTTTCTTTTTTTCTTTTTTTAATTTATGTGTATGCATGTGGGCCTGAATGTATGTATGTGTGTATGTGCACCATGTGTGTGTTAGTAGAGACCAGAAGGCATCAGATTCCCTGGAACTGGAATCACAGGAAGTTATAAGCCTTCTGATGTGGGTACTGAGAATTGAACCTGTGCCCTCTGCAAGAGCAGTAAGCTCTCTTACCTGCACAGTTCTCTAGCCCCTCATTAGTTTTCTTTTCCTTTAAAAAAATTGTGTAAAACATATTTATTGTGTATGTGTGTATAATTTGTGTGTGTGTGTATGTGTGTGTGTGTGCCACAGAACATGTGCAGAGTTAGAGGATGACTGTGTGGAGTTGGTTCTCTCCCGCCTTTGCCCACTGAGCCATCTGGCCAGGCCACATTAGTTTTCTGTGCTTTTTATTTGCTTTTGTTCCAAGGACTGACATCAAGTCAGATGCAAGCAGTTGCTGGACATTGCATTTACCTCACTCCCACATCCTACCCCACACTGAGTTCTAATTGATTATATATGCCTACAAATATTTCTGTGTTGTATTTTTTTAACCTTGACTTCCGATACTCTAGTCTAAGCCACATATATATTTCTGTCTCTTTCATTACAGGCTAAGTTTCCTGAGGACACCAATGTATCCATTATGCCGCCACTGAATGTGTATCTGGGACTTAACATAGTGTCTGGCATGGATCGGGACCACAGACTTCTTCAAATGACCTGTGATAAGGAGTACAGTGTTAGAAAGGCTGTGGGATTTTAAAAACATTTACCATTATTAGTGTGTGTGTGTACAGTGTGTGTGTGTGTGTGTACAGTGTGTGTGTGTGTACAGTGTATGTGTGTGTGTGTACAGTGTATGTGTGTGTGTGTGTACAGGTGTGCCACAGAGGACAGTTTCCTGAGTCCATTCCCATTCTCCAGGCTTATGTGGAAAGCATGTTTACCCACTAAGCTGTTTTTCGAGTCCAGAAAGGAAGCAGGTTTGAAAGCATCATTACTTATGTTTAAAGCTTATAAAATAAGGGGTTCTGACTGATTTCAGGAAGGCTTCTGCTACAAACTGAGTACCCTCACCTGGCTTTTTCATCAGTACTTGCAACTGCTACCCCCAAATTGACTTTGGGCTGACAGAGAAATGATCTGAATTTCTGGACTTTCTAGCCACGCTATCAATAAGAACAGCACCTGGGCCCAGTGAAATGGCGTGGCTGGTAAAGATGTTTGCTGCCAAACCTGAATCCTGAGTTCAGTCTCTAGGGCCCACATGGCTGAGGGATAGAATCGACTCCCCAAAGTTCTCCTCTCACTTCTACACATGTGCCATAGCATGTGTGCACCACCCCCTACACATATGCGCACAAAATAAAAAGATCAAATGTATAAAAAATAGCATTTGTCCAGCACTCAGGAGGCAGAGGCAGGCGGATCTCTGTGAGTTGAAGTCCAGCCTGGTCTACAGGGCTAGTTCTATGACAGCCAAGCCTACACCGAGAAACCCTGTCTTAAAAACAAACAAACAAACAAACAAACAAACAAAAACAAACTAGCACTTGTATGGAGTGGGGAGGTTCTTTTGTACTACACTTGATCAGTTGGTCAGACTGTAATAGGCGGATGCTTGGAACGCCATCTGGTAGAGAGCACTAATGTTTCCTCTGGGTGCATCTAACAAAAGCAATGTTACCTTGAATGTGAAATCCAGAGTATTGCCAGGTTCTCTATCCCTTCCAGGGTTGAGGCAGGTCTGGGGTTAGGAAAGAGTTAGTGACTGTTTTTCTCTAGCTGTTACTTGAGCACTCTGGCCTGGGAACAGGGCACTCACCAGCAGGCAGTGACACAGAGCATGGAAATGTTGCTGGTTTGTTTCCAACTCATCCCAGTCCAGCTTCCAACAGCTTGTGGGTCTGAGGATGAAGGGGAGTCCATAGGTCAGGGACTCACAGATCGCACTGGATTTAAGAGCCCTGGAAAAGAAAGACTCTCCTTAGTGGTATCGGGAATCTACCTCTAACCATCAGACCCATCTAAATTCAGCTCGGATCTAGGACCTTCTGGGAGCTTGTGGATCAGGGTGTGTAATTTACAGAGTGTGTGGTCAGTGTCAAGCATGGAATCGGGCACACTGAAAGTTCTTAGAGCTCTACAGTCTTCCATGGGGCCCTACAGTAAGAACAAGAACACAGCAAAGCTGGGCTTTCCCATCCCTGTTCTACCTGAGAGCTGGATCCCCTGATCCAGCACTCCTAGTGCCCAGAGGAGTGGTAGAGTTGAAGTTAGATCTTGAGCCACTTTGCCCCTGAAACGCTCATTCCTACGCTAACCCTATGGCTTTTGACAAACATCCATCGGATGGCTGAACACCTTTGCATCGACCTTGCTTTGCTCTGCACTCAGAGGCCATGTTTCCAATTCCTGCCCCTATCTCCAAGTCTTCTGTGGTAGCAAGTGTACATCTGTCCCTCTGGCTTCCACTTGCTGAGGAACCCAACCTTACTTTTGTTGCTTTGCTGACATGCTTGTAACTGCTACCTGGCCACAGATTGTTGCCTGACTGCCAAGGTATAACCTGAATCTCTGCCCTTCCAGGCCGTGGGATCAACAAGGCCAGAGGAGAAGGGCTAGGTTTCCTCAAAGCATACTTGATCACTTGCAGCTTGTACGGAGAGTCTGACGACAGGGAGGCCATCTGGTAGAGTGTGCTGATGTCTCCTTTGGGGTCATCTATTCTCAACAGGCCATCGGCCGTCCCAGGAAGCAGGGACGGGCTGAGAAATCGCTCTTGGAGGTCACATTTCAGGCATACTGCGACCAAAGGAGAGTTAGAGAAGAGGCCATGTTACAAGTTACCTCAGGCTGTCACTGTGAGACAAATTCACTCTCACAAGGCAGTCAAGGCTTGGGAGGAGGTAGGAAAATGGGAAAAAGAAAGCAAGTTTGGTTTGGGGAGGTAAAGCAGACCTGTCACCTGTGTTATAGCTATTCATCCTCACGGTTTACTTGTTCTCTGAGCCTGGCATGATGCTCCTTTGCTTTATGGCTGGGCTCACTGAGCATTTGTCTCCTAGCAAGGAGTCTGGTTTGTCATTCCGTTCAGGAGGGACAGGTGTCCTCGCTGGAGCAGCTAACGCTTGTTAGGTCTCAAACCTGGGATAATATGCAGAGGCCCTTGGGTAACCACAGAAGGAACTCTTGCCTCTGCTGCTTGCTTCCCTGCGGCTTTGGCAAGCGTGCTGGCCAGATGAAGGAAGAACAGGAAAGCAGAAGTCAGACAGTCAGCTGACTGCTACTGTTTTTCTCTGGCCTTTGCCAGGGGGCCTCCAGGACTATGGGAGGAACACGGTCCTGAAATAGCCTATGTTTGATGCCTGGAAGGAGCCCGAGTACTGGATCTTCAAGGCCTTGGAGCCCAGCGGTGGGTTAAACAGCAGGAGTGCATAGACTGTGCTGAGTTATACTTGTCTCTGTCTGCTACTCGGTTCTACGAAGCTTTTGGCTTTTAAAAAAAATGATTTATTCTTATTTTGTATTCATTGGTGTTTTGCCTGCATCTATGTCTGTGTGAAGGTGTCAGAAGCCCCGGAACTGGAGTTACAGACAGGTGTGAGCTGCCATGTGGGTGCTGGGAATTGAACCTGGATCCTCTGGAAGAGCAGCCAGCACTCTTAACTGCTGAGCCACCTCTCCAGGCCCATTGCGTCACTTTTGAGACAGGCTCTTCTGCAGCCCAGATTGACCTCTAACTTGCTATGTAGCTGAAGATGACCTTGAACTCCTGTTCTCCTGCCTCTGCCTCACGAGTGCTGTGGTTTCAGGTGTGTGTTACTGTTCCTGGCTTTGAATTGGGTTTCTATTCCAGCAGTTACCTTCAGGTGCCTGAATCCTTGATGCTACGAAACATTAAAATATAGATCTGATTGGAATATCAATAGCAAACTTGCAAGTATACGAACACTGAATCCTTGTGAGAAGGCTCGTAGGTTATGGTGATTTGTGGAACGACCAGACTGCCACGTGAGGTAAAAATTAAAGCAGAAGTAAACTGCAGTGGCATACATCTCTGAAAATGTCATCTCACTAACATTTGTTATGTTATATATTAATTTAAAAACCAAATAAAAATGTCAAAGTAACATGGGGAAAATGGAGTGGGCGATAGATTCAGCTGGATTTCCTGGGCTCAGTTCATAAGATGTAGACTTTAATTTATCTCATTGAACCCAGGAGGGGCTTGGTCCAGGAATGTGCCTCCCTTCATTTCTTCTCTGCCTGACTTCTCCATTACCGGTCACTGGGATTTAGGATTGGGAAGCTCTGTCCATCTGGATGAAGGTCTCATTGGTTGCAGTAAGAACCATCCTAAGAGGTCATGTGCAGTGGTGCATACCCATAACTCCAGTTCTCAGGAGGTGGAGGCAGGAGGACCAGGAGTTCCAGGCTAGGCTAAACTCATAGTGAGTTCCAGGCCAGCCTGTGTAAGACCAATTAAATCAGAATCTTTGAGGTGCTTCTCACCATCCAGAGCTCAGGTACAGAGATGGCAGAGCCCACACCAGAGAACAAGACACTCAGCTGCCTGCACACTCTGGCACAGGGAGACCTCTAAGGGAAGCCCAGAGAGACGGTGAAGTGCTCCGGGCAGTCATGAAAACGCGTGGACAAGCTTAAAAAGAAGACTCAACATTCCTTCAAGGAATCTGTGTCAGCCAGCTCAGAGATCTTGTTTTTATGTGGTGAGTCTCGTGCTCAGAAGTCTACACGGAGCCATGCATCAGCTTAAAAAACAACAGGTAGCTACAGTCTGATCTTTGTTGTGATTGTTTATAATCTCCATGGGCTGCATCACTCTGGAAAAGACCTAATTTCTCCAGACTCCATTCCAGTTGTACCTGACATCTGGATTCCAGTGAGGCCCTCGCTTGCAGAAGAGCTGATCTAAGATATGCATGCACGCTGAAGCTTTGTCGACTTCTGAAGTATGGCTACAGTTGGACTATATTCTGGCTCTGATCCTGGTAAAAAAGCTTTGGAGAGGTGGTGTGGGGGGAAGCTGGAGAAATTCTGACCTGAGCCAAGCACAGATGCTGTAGCAGTAGTTCCTGGTCTTTGAGGGTCCCAACTCCATTAGTGAGAGAAGTGAATCACTATCCCTTTTGTTCAGAGTGGCCTAAGCAGCAAGTGGGTTAATGGTGGGCAAAGGCCTAAGTTCTGGAGGTAGATAGACCTGTGTTTGATGAGTGTATTCCAGGCAAGAATTGTGAAGTGTACAAATAGAGATTTCTGATCCTAAGATGAAGAAGGGGCCCTGTGCTTTTCTGTGAAGCCCTAGGAAAGAGTTTAATTTCTTTGTCTTACTTTCTTCATGTGTAAACACAGGTATAGTATTATGTTTGGTTTGTAGACAGATTTTTCACACACTAAGATCTCTAAAGATCTTACAATTGCTATTGGCCAGGCAGACAATCTTAGCACTTGAATTCTCCCAGGAAGGATACAATTATATTGCTAAGTGACAAGAAACCAGTATGTTGTGTTTAATTGACAGTGCTTCCATTCTTAGTGGCACACAAACAGTGGCATGTCTTATAATGGATAGCGTCTTAGACCTGATGACATATTGGGTGACAGCATCTGCCTGGCGGTGGTGTGTACAGCAGAGGGAACTATCAAGAAAAGAAGCCAGCATGGTAATTTGGCAGGGGAAAGGCACACAGATGTCGAACATCAGCCGGCTTCTGTGTGAAGCTGCTGGCTGCTTTTAAGGGAGGAAAGTGAATGAGTGAATCCCAGAGGATGGGATAGGGAGGAACTGGTAGGATCGCTTGGGACACAATGCAAAGGAGGTCCTGGGGAGACAATTTACAGGCAAAGGAAAACAGGTTATTATCAGGTTAAGCCATCAAAGGCATTCCAGGCCCTAGGTGTTGTAAAAGAAAAGTTACTCACTCAGTGTGTGTGTGTGTGTGTGTGTGTGTACTATGGAACATATGTGTAGGCCAGAGAACAACCTGTGGGAGTCTGTTCTTCCATACCATGGGACCTGGGACTGAACTCCAGTTGTCAGGCTTAGTGGCAAGTGCCTTTATCCACTGAACCATCTTGCTGGTCCCAACCCCTGGGGTTAAACAGAAAACGATGGAGGAGGGAGAACAGGGGAATCCGTGGCTGATATGTAAAATTAAATTAAATTATAAAATTAAAAAATAATAATTATAATAAAAAAAAAAGAAAATGATGCAGAATCTGATAGCTGTCCCTGGAAGGAGGGGAACCATAGTCCTATCTAATTAGACTTTCAGAGGGCTTTCCCCCACCCTGAAAAGGTGACAGCCACAGCAGAGTTCTATTCCAGTAGGAGAAGAGACTTTAAACACATTGTTAGTTGGGGCTGGAGAGATGCCCAGCAGTTAAGAACACTGGCTGCTCTTGCAGAGGACCAGGTCCGGTTCCCAGTACCCACATGGCAACTCACAACCATCTGTCAGCTTCAGGGGATCCAACGCTCTCTTTCAGCCTCTATGAGCACTGCATGTACAGGGTACACAAACATACATGCAGACAAAACACCCATGTACACTAAAACATACTACATATATATGGAGCCTTCAGAGGTGGTATACAGCACATGTCACATCAGAGCCTGGGAAGGGGCTTTGGAAAGCACCGATACCTAGTTCTTCTTACGACCCCCAGTGAGCTCCGTAGTTGCGACCACTATTCTGTTCTGTGGAGAAAGTGGACGCAAACTGACAACCCCAAACACACTCTAGTGTCTTCCCTGAGGAGACAGGTCCTCAGGAGTCGCCCTTCTTAAACTCAGTGTGGCTGATTATACTGCTAAGTCCATTTGGCACCAGTCGCTACAGTATCTAGGACCTTGTTGACATGCCTGGTGCTGACTAGCTGCCTGAACTTCTTTGTGCACATGATCCTGGGCTCATGTTGCCCTCCTCAGAGCTTGCTTCGGAGTTGATGCAGTTTTCTCAATGTGATGCCTAGCTAGTGAGACTTTTAAGAATTTCATTTCAGTTTATGTGTAGGAGTGTCTGTCTGTCTGTCTGTGTCTGTATGCACACTACATGAGTGCAGTGGCTGAAGGTGTCAGGTCCCCTGGAACTGGAGTCCCAGGAGATTGTGAGCTGCCATGTGGGTGCTGGGAACTGATTCTAGGTCCTCCACAAGAGCAGCCAGTGCTCTTAGCCGCTGAGCCATCTCTTCAGGCCCCGAGAAGATTTTTATTTACTGTTATTATTCTTACCACAGGCAGTGCTGATATTATCAAGGTAACAGGCTCTTGAATTATAGTAACAAGAACACCTGCCATACTAAGAGTGAGAATACTGAGGACAGTGCATGATTCAGTGTATCCTGCTATGGTGTAGCTGAATTCTTATCATCGAGGCATCAAGGACTTTGCCTCTGTAACTGCTTGGCTCCTGCTGGCTGGGAGGGTCACTCTGTAGAGCTTTTCTCTTTATATCCACGCTGTCACTAGACAGCGTCACCCAAGCCTCCTCCAACCCCTAGGCCTCAAATGATCTGTATTCTGATGACTCACCAGAGTCGTCTAGACTTCTAATCCTAGACAAGGACAGACTTAGCCCACAGAACCTATCTTTTCAGGGTTGTGTACTTGGATTATCTCTTGCCCTGGAAGAAGGAGGAAGGGTCTGTGGAGCAAGAAGAAGATGGATGTGTTCTCGGTCGGTTTCACTATTATGCAGCCAGGCTTTGAAGAAGATCTCCATGCTGACAACATCGTTGTCGAGACTCTGAAGGACAATGTCAGCTTCCAGGATAGCACTCTCTGCAGAAGAAAGGAAAATGGTGGTTAAGGTAGTTTTTTGTTTGTTTGTTTTTTGGGGGGGTTATTTTTTAAAAAAATCTTATTATTTACGTTAAGATTTTTTTTGGGGGGGGGAGAAGGCGAGGTTGGGAAGATGACTATTAAGAGTATGTACTGCTCTTGCAGAGGACCTGAGTCCAACCCCTAGCACCTACACCAGGTGGCCCACTGCCTGTAACTCCAGTTCCTGGGGTCTGATGCTCTCTCTTCTAAACTCCAAGGGTACATGCACTCACACAGGCATACACATAATTAAAAATACAAATAAGTCTTTACAATATTTTAAAAATAGATGTATCTTAATTAAAAATTATTTATGTGTTGGGGCTGGAGAGATGGCTCAGCTGTTGAGAGCATTGACCTTGCAGAGGATCTGGGTTTGATACCCAGCACCCACATGGTGGCTCAAAACTGTCTGTAACTCAAGTCCCAAGGGATCTAACACCCTCTTTGGACCTCAGCAGTGGTCGACATATATGCATGCAGGCAACATACTCATTCATGTAAAATAATAAGATAAATCTAAAAATGTTAAAAATAGTTATGTGTTTGGGTGTTTTGTCTGCATGTAAATTTGTGCATCACAAACGTGCCTGATACCCACAGCGGGTAAAGAGGGTATCAAATGCCTTAGAACTAGAGGTATAGACAGCTGCTGTGAGCTATCCTGAGGGTGCGGGAACTGAATTTAGACGAGTACTCTTAACTGCTGAGTCATTCCTCCAGCCACTTGTTTTTAGTTTTTAATTGTGTGTGTGTGTGTGTGTGTATGTAGTTATGTGCACACAAATGCAAGTATCCGCAGAGGTCAGAAGAGCTGTCTGCTTCCCCTGAGCTGGAGTTACAGATGGTTGTGAGCTACCCATGTGCCAGGAACCTCTGGGAGAACAGCAAGTACTGAACCATCTCTGCAGCCCAAGCGTCTAATTGTTATTGCTGTTGTTATTATTATTATTTTTGAGACAGGGTTTAACTGTGTATCCCTGGCTCTCCTAGATCTCACTATGTAGATCAGGATGGCTTTGAACTCATGGAGATCTACCTGCCTCTCCCTCAAGTATTGGGATTAAAAGCATGCACAAAACCACACCCAGCTAAGTGTTTAACTTTTAATTAAACGTTTTTTTTTGTTGTTGTTGTTGTTGTTTGTTTTTTTTCAAGATAGAGTCTTGCTATGTAGCTCTGGCTGGTCCAGCATGCACTGTGTCGAGCAGGCCTTGATCCTGACACAAGCCTCCTGCCTTTGCTTCCCAGTTGCTGGGATTACGAACATGAGCCATCACACACATCTAATTTTTTAATTAGAAAATTTGAAAATTGGAAATTTTTTTTATATATATTTTTTATTTTACAATACCATTCAGTTCTACATATCCGCCATGGGTTCCCCTATTCTCCCCCCTCCC